TCGGCATTTGTGTGCGGGTTGCGGAGCTCCCGCGACCCCAAAACACTCGGGCGCGGGCGGCGTGGCGGGGCTGTGGAGCTGCGCCATGTCCGCGTCGGCGTGGTGTTGCCTGCGTTGCTGCAGGGACGGCGGGACCGGCCACATTCCTCTCAAGGAGATGCCGGCCGTACAGCTGGACACGCAGCACATGGGTAAGGGCCTCTCGACTGGACCCAACGGCCCCCGGGGGCCGAGGGAAGGGGGCGGGGACCACGTGACCACGCAGCCGCCCGACACCCTGTGGCCTGGCTGGCTGCGGCCCCGTGTCAGCGTCAGAGGGTGGTTGACTCCATCGCCTCCTGAGGAGTCAGGTGTTCCCAGGTGAGGAACGCGGGGGCGCCCGCCCTCCGTGTCCGGGTGTCGAGTGTCACTGTTTGCAGAATCCTGTCTTCAGCACTATCAGATACAGGCTGAAGCTTGTTCTGAGGCAGTCATTTCCCCCTCACTTCCTGAAGTCCGAACAAGGCCGGTCGCAGAAACCAGGGGTAGCACCTCAGATCCTAACACACTGCTTCCACGAAAATCTCCATTGCTGGACTCCTTAGTCACTGTTGGGATCGCTGTAATTTCATCTGACTCTCCTCTTGCCATCGGATCAAGCGATTGCAAAATAGAACAGCTCTTTGCTCCTTCTCCACATTTTTTTCTTCCCAGTTCCCAATGACTTAATAATTTCTCATCCACGCCCTCTGTTGCATCTTTTCCCACACACCATTACTTCACTTTTAGATCCCTCCCTCCTATACATTTCCAAGCTTCTGGAATATTGTCCAGGCCGGAGAGATTTCTCATATAATTATATCAGAGTACTGTCTTTTTGTGGGTTATACAATAAACTACTGTACTTTTGATTTACCCAAATACCTCATTGTCTAAAGGACAGTGTATTTAAGTAACACATGCATTCTTAAGATTTATAGCAAAGCTCTCTTCTGCGCAGATAATCTACAATTATGGAAACATTGCCCATTCTACTTTCTATTGCAATACTATATGCAATCATTGTTTAGTACCTCGTACAATACCAATACAAATTTACAGTGCTTTAATTCCTAAGTCTCTAGTGTTGTACAGATCCTCAGTACTTAAATAAATACCTTTAAACTCCTTTTGTTTGTTTCTTTTTTTTCCAGACAGTCTCTCTGTGTAGCCTTGGCTGTCCTGGAACTCTATCTTTAGAGGAGGCTGGCATTGAACTCATAGAGACCCAGCTGCCTCTGCCTCCCAGATGGTGGGATCGAAAGTGTGCAACACTACTTCCCTGACAAATTCTTTCTTACCCATCACTATAGACAGTGGGTGTTCAGATATTGTACTTTCTTTCAGGAAACATTTCAATTTAATTTACTTACTCACTGAACAAATACGGCGACAAGACAGTGTTTTGTGATAACAGTAGAGGACTATAGTGGACTTTTGAGCCCCTGCTGTGCTGTGGGTTCTGTAGAACATTCTTGATCTTTGGTCTCTGTCTTCTGTAGGAAGAACTAACTAATACCTTGTATCATCATTCTTCTGTTTCTCTTTGTCCAGTACTGTCTAGCTAGCACCCTCAGGTAGTGAGTGTAGTACAGTGGTAGCATCTCCCAATTTCTTTCCTTCCATGGAAGTTTTTTTAACTCTTCTAATAAATTCAAATTCTTCAAACACAGAAAAGCTCCATATGAGAACCACAAGAAAAGAAAGGAGTGCTGAGTTTAGAAGGGTGATTCAAATATGAGTTGATCTTAAATTGAAAACATGAGAAACATACTGTGTGTATTTGGATATGGCAAAATGATATGATACAATCTAAAGAATATATTTGGGCTTTTTTGTTTGATTCATGCCTTTTCTTTTGGTTTGTTGTTGTTTTGTTATTAAAGAGGGTAGTCTCTATATTGCTCAGATTGTGTACAATTCCTGGACTCCAGCCACCCTATACTTCAGCCATGTCCAACTTGCTTTCCTTTTTTTTTTTTTTTTAAAGAAAATATACAAGCAATGATATTGTATTACTTAAAACCATGTTGGAGTTTTGTAAATATTTTCATTGTTTCTCTTAATTGTAAATTAGTCTTTTAGAAACAGATGCCTTTCAAGGTAGCTATTTTGAAAGGGACAGCACTTGTTCTGTTTGTGTTTTGTTAACGTTGTTACTTATTTTTGGCAGCTTGACATAAGCTAAAGTTACTTGGGAAGACCCTTAGTTGAGAAAATGCTTCCATCCAGATTGCCTGTAGGGTTTTTGTTTGTTTGTTTGACCAATGATTGTTGTGGATGGGCGTAGCCCATGACAAGGTGATGCCATCCCTGGGCAGGTTATCCCAAGTTGCATAAGAAAGCAGGTTGAGCAAATAGGTAGGAGCAGGCCAGTAAGCAGAGCTCCTCCATGGCCTCTACTTCAGTTCCTGCCTCCAGGTTCCTGCCTGAAGGACCTGCCTGTCTTCCTTTTATGTGCATTGTGATGTGGAAGTATATTCTTCCCACACATGGAAGGTTGTTAGACTTGGTGGCAAGTGTCTGAAACTGCTGAGTCATCTCTCCAGCCCAGAAATTATTGTTTTTTTGTTTTGGTTTTGGTTTTTTGGTGTTTTTTTTTGTTGTTGTTGTTGTTTGTTTTTTGTTTTTTGGGGTTTTTTTTTGGTTTTTCGAGACAGGGTTTCTCTGTGTAGCTTTGGAACCTATCCTGGCACTGGCTCTGACCAGGCTGGCCTCGAACTCACAGAGATCCGCCTGCCTCTGCCTCCCGAGTGCTGGGATTAAAGGCATGCGCCACCAATGCCCAGCTCAGAAATTGGGTTTTAACATTTTATAAAAGTGTGTGTGTGTACATGGAGGTCAGAGGACTACTTAAAGGAATTAGCTTTCTCCTTTCATGTATGTTCCAGGGGCTAAACTCATGTCTCCTCAATCTTTGTGACAAGCCTGTCACAAAGTGTCAGCCCTTGAAATCTTTAAACAAATAAAAATGTACTTAACCTTAACAGTGTAGGATTTTAAAAGGACCATTTTAGAGTGATTGTTTTTTATTACTATTGCCTAGCTTTATTAGCCCCTTCTGGAGGACTGCCACCTAGTCCTAATGTTTGTGTCTGCTTGCCTTATGACTTTATTACAGGTGAGGAGATAATAATGGCCATAGACTTTGGGAGTCATGTGTATTAATAATGTTAAATCTTTCTTACATATAGGAATTGAGCTGGCTCTTCATGATTTGTGATGGACTTGCTTTCCTAAGCCAAAATTCAGAAACAAAGTACTAATAGGTTCACATTTCAAAAGTAGTATTTTTCTTGCAGTCATCTATGAAGTTGTTTGAGATGAAACTAAATTTTTTATGAAAATAAAGTGTGTTTAATGATATTAAGATCTTATTTAGAATGGGTCATTTTGGCACACATCTGTAATCCCCTTTAGGAGATGAGACTAGTACAGTCAATACAGAGAGACCCTGTCTCAAAACAAACAAAGAAAACATGTACTTACTTGACCACTCCAGTATGAGTAGTAGTAAGTATAAGACTGGTGGTAATGGCTACTATCTAATAGACCCTCAACTGTCTTTTAATAGATTGTCTTAATCCATTTGATTAGAATTGAAATTGTACCACTATACTAAGTTTCTTAAGTGTTTATGGCTTGACTTAAGTGAAAATTGTTAATTTATCTAATCTGTTTGTTGGTTAAAAGTTAGTCTCCTTTTACCTTATAAATGTTTTACATTTTATTTATTTTGCATGCATTTATGAGGGCACACATGCCATGACTTACATATCAAGTCCAAGGAGAACTTCTGGGAGTCAGTTCACTTTCTGGGTTCCTGAAATCAAACCCAGGTGATCATCAAGCTTGGTGGAAAGTGCCTTTGCCACATAAGCCATCTCATTGACCCCTTACAAATAATTTAAATATTCAACATAATTTGGTTTATTTGGAACAACTTAATTGAAAAAGACTTGTAATATGAATAATAAAAACCCAGAAACAGATATTGCAGTTAAAGCTGAAGACTAGAAAAGCAAAATGGCCAGCCACTTGAGAGTTCTTACCTCTACCAATGCTCCGTGGGTGCATTGTGTCCTCTCCAAACCGCAATGCTCCTCAGACTGCCTAGACTGCAATGAGTTCCTGTCTCCTCCCACCTTGCATTCCTCTCTAGCCTAGCCATATCATTCCTGTCTCCACCTCCTTAGTACTGGGATTAAAGGCCTGTCATCCAAAGTGCTGAAATCAAAGACATGAGTTCTGTTTCTCTTTTAGGCTGATTCACTCTCATGTAGCCCAGGGTAGCCTTGAACTCACAGAGATCCATCTGCCTCTTTCTCCTGAGTGCTGGGATTAAAGGTGTGTACCACCACTGCCTGGCCTCTTGTATGGCTAACTTGTGTGACTGCTGGGATAAAAGGTGTGTGCTACTACTGCCTGGCCTCTATGGCTAACTAGTGTGGCTAGCTTTGCATTCTTATCTTCAGGCAATCTTTATTTTTACCACAAAGACTTTTTGATTCAAATGAATATTATATATAATCAGTATCTTAAAAAGTAGAAAATTAAATATTTAAAATGATCTATCAATATTACCATATCTGAAAAGACTTAAAATGTTCCTGTTTTTTTGTTGTTGTTGACTGAATTATTGAACAGAGCCTGGGGCTTCATGGGTAAAGTGCTTGCTGTGTTTGCATTCCCCAGCACCCACACAACAAGCTGAGCATGACAGTACATGTCTATAATTTAGGCACTGATAGCCCAAAACAAGAAGGTCCAAGGGGCTCACTGGCCAGCTAGTCTTACTAATCAGTGACCTCCAGGTTCCATCTCAAAAAATAAGGTGGGAAGCTATGGATACTGATATTGATACTGATCTTTAATAACCACACCTGTGCACATATCTTCCCTCTCTCCACTCCTGGCCCCTGTTCTACACATACACAGTTAATACACAAATTAACCATGATGTTAATGTGTTAATGTGTCTGTGTGTTTTGTTTAGGAACAGATGTTGTCATTGTGAAGAATGGAAGAAGAATCTGTGGCACTGGAGGTTGTTTAGCCAGTGCACCTTTACATCAGAACAAAAGCTACTTTGAGTTCAAAATCCAGTCTACTGGTTAGTATAATTTATAATTGTACTTAACTATTACCAAAGATAATTTTGATTATGAAAAAAATTCAGGAGATGATTAAGGAAAAGTCCCAAACTCTTATATACAGGGCCGAGTCATCCCTCTTGTGATCCAAGTTAAATTAGTCAGTTTGCTAAGTTGTAACTTTGCAACACCCCACCCCAGAAAACAGGTTAAAGAGGAAGGGTTTATTTTGGTTCTCATTTCTGAGGTTCATGGTCAGTGGCTCTGTTGTTTTCCAGCCACAGTGAGGCACAAAGTCATGGGGGGAAGACCATGGTGTTGCAAAGTTACCCACCTCACGAGAGTCAGGAAACAGTAATGATATGGAAGAGGCAGGGGACAAGATATACTCTGCTAAGGCTTGTTCCCAATAGCCTCCTTCCTCCCAAACAAGTCCCACTTACTACTTTTTTTTTTTATCAGTTTTTAATAATCCCATCATACTGTGAATACACCAAGGGATCAACCTCTTGATGAAAGTAGAACCCTGCAGATGCAGTCACCTCTCCATGATTGAATCCACCAGGGATCCCCATTGGCCTTTGGGAGGGACATTTCACATCTAAACCGTAGACTTCTCTGTTGCAATTTTATGGAGTTTCTTGAATTATATGGCAAGTCTGTCTATCAGGATCATAACTTTGTAGCAGTATTACATATGAAGAGATCAATGGATTTTTGTTTTTAGAAAAAGCTGTGAAATCTTATAAGTACTCAAGACTATAATGAAATAAGTGAATCCTGTTCCCCGGACAATATGGTACTTCCAAAGCTGGTTTCTTAAAGTGGTTTAATACTGGTTTTATTTTGTTTTGTGTTTTAAGTGAAGCATAAATCCACGTCTGTCCACTGTGCTATTGTAAGTTACCTCACTGGTTAATTACTGTCCTAATTACTGTTGTCTTCTCAAATATATATTTTCTTCCTATTTTTTTAAAGATTTATTTATTTACTTAGTGCATACCAGTACTTTGTCTGCATGCATGCCTTTATGACAGAAGAAGGCATCAGATCCCACTGTAGTTGGTTGTGAGCCACCATGTGGTTGCTGGGAATTGAACTCAGGATCTCTGGAAGAACAGCCAGTGCTCTTAATGGCTGAGCCATCTCTCCAGCCCCTATTTTCTTCTTAAAAGGAGAAAATAGTGTTTGAGCCTTAAACTTAATAAAAAATTAGATGTAGCTTTTTCTGTCATGGATACTCCTCAATGCTATCCCTAGGACATATGGGTTATTGGAGTGTTAGTAATCCTGTACACAATTCTTTCGTGGTAGGGAAACTGCAGAACCCTATCTGCAAATGTTATGAAATTATTATTGTCACCTACTATCATTGTCATAGTTGTCTCTTAGGGGAGATGAACTATACATAGGTCAAAGTATTTCTGATGTCAAGATAGTCAAATCCAGACATGCGTGCAACTTTCTGATGGATTCAGCCAATCCAGAAAGAGTATTAACAGCATAGAATTCAAACCTCCTTCCATGTGTAGCATTTCTTTTGATTTTAATGAAGACTGAAAAAGTAGCATCTTGAGAACAAGTCCAGGACACTAGATATTTTGTTTGGCTGGAGAAGAGAATCCCTGCTTCTGAAGATACAGGCTGGTGGTAGAGCACTTACCTAGCATGAAGTGCTGAATTTAGATCCCCAGTATCAATCTTCTTGTTACTTGTTACTCATTATAAATATAACTAAAGACAGTATCCTCCCATTTCTCAGAACCAGAGCAGAGAGAGAGAGAGAGAGAGAGAGAGAGATAGTTTTGCTTGGAATTGGGCCCAAGGCCAAGACTACCACAAAGCTGTATGTACTCCTACCCCTAGCCCTACAGTGCTTTAAAAAAAAAAAAAAAAAAAACCTTAAGAGAAAGTAGTAATGGTAATAGCTAGCATTTTTAAAATTCTCAGTGTGTGCTTTACTTGCTCATTTTTAAAAACTTCTTGACCTATCCTAATTGCTGTTTTTGGGTAGTCCCATGTCTTTTCCTTACCTTGTGTCTTAGCTACTGTTCTATTGCTGTGAAGAGACACTATGACCAAGGTAACTTATAAAAGCAGGTGTTTAATTGGGGACTTGCTTACAGTTTTGGAGGGTGATCATGGAGTGGAGCATGGTGGCAGGCAGGCAGGTATGGTGCCGGAGCAGTACTGAGAGCTTACATCTTATCCACAGGCAGGAGGCAAAGACAGAGAGAGACTGGGCCTGTGTGGGCTTTTGAAACCTCAAAGCCTGCCCCCAGTGACACACCTCCTCCAACAAGGTCACACCTCCTAATCCTGCCTTAACAGTCTACCAACTGCAGACCAAGCATTCAAATATATGAGCCTATGGGGGCCCTTCTCATTTAAACCACCACACCTTGTAAGTACTATTAGACCCAACAGATGAGGAAATAGGGAAGTTAAGTACTTTGCCCAAAATAACATAGCTATGATTGTTTAAACACCAGAAATACAACTTTTAACCTCCTAGTTTACTTACAGAGAACATTGTATACTTTCAGCTTACTTCGGAGAAACTTTGTTATTATTGTGTGTGTATATGATTCTGGTGGGGTGTGTGAACATCAAAGTTCAGCTTTTATAGGATCTGTGGGTCTATCCTTCCACTTTCACTTGGGTTCTGAGGATCAAAGCTTGTCACTTTATCTGCTGAGCCATCACACTGGCCCTGTAATCTACTTTTTTAAAAGTTTGTTTTACAAAACAAAAACAAGGATATACCTTAATTAAGGATTAAGGATATATCTTTAATCCCAGCACTCATGAATCCAAGGCTGGTAGTTCTCTGAATTTGAGGCTAACCTGGTCATTACAAATAGTGAGTTCTAAATCCAAGCCAACAGAGCTACAGAGTGAGAGCTGACTGGGAGAGAGAGAGAGAGAGAGAGAGAGAGAGAGAGAGAGGGTGGGGGGGAAATAATTAAAAATTTTTATATTTGTGTTCTTCAAATTTATGATGTATTTACATTTGTATTTTTAGGAATCTGGGGTATAGGTGTTGCAACTCAGAAAGTTAACTTGAACCAGATTCCTCTTGGCCGAGACATGCACAGTTTGGTGATGAGAAATGATGGAGCCCTATACCACAACAACGAAGAAAAAAACAGGCTGCCAGCAAACAACCTTCCTCAGGAAGGAGATGTAGTGGTGAGTCTCCTGGTAGAGCTCCTATCCACTGTCAATTATTAAACTTGAGCTGTTTTGACTAGACATGGTTTTACATTCTGGGTTGTAATTTTTATTCCAAAGCCCTGGGATTGAATCTAGTGAGGTAGTACCATTTCCATAGAGAACACTCGTCGAATACTGCTACCTCACTTCATTGCCCTGTCCTTTCTGGAATAGCTAGCAGACTAGGACATGAGGGTGATTGGCCCTATATCTCCATATGGCAAGATCATTTACAGATTGGCTTCTAAGCAATATCCTACTGTCACAGGCAAATCTTTACATACAATTTTTTAAAGTTTTTCTGATCATATTATTAGGTATTTTTGAAGCCAGAGATCTCTCAAAATATTTCACTTTTATTAATGTTAGGAACTGTGATAGTTTGAATGTTATTACCCCCATAAGCTCATTGGGGGTGACACTATTAGGAGGTGTAGCTTTGTTGGAATAGGTATGGTCTTGTTGGAGGAAGTGTGTCACTGTGGAGGTGGGCTTTGAGGTCTTATATGTGCTCAAGCCACACCCAGTGTCTCAGACCACTTCCTGTTGCCTTTGAGTCAAGATGCAGGACCCTCAGAGTCTTCAGCACCATGTCTGCCTACACACCACCATGTTGCACCATAATGATAATGGACTAAATCTCTGAAAAATGTAAGCCACCCAAATTAAATGTTTACAGCGTTTTACTGCAAGTACTGATTCTTATTAAAGTTAATCTTACTAAATGCCTCTACTTTTAGAACCTTTCAAAGAACTGGACTCAAAAATCCCAAGGTTAGAACAGAACATGGTGACACACTCCTTTAATCCCAGCACTCAGGCAGAGGCAGAGAGAGGCAGGGACGGGCGTCTCTGAGTTCAAGGACAGCCTACTCTATATAGTGAGTTCCAGGCCAACCAGGAGTACATAGTAAGAACTTGTCCAAAAACAATTAACCTTAAAACTTGCTTTTGGAAGCTTTTGTTTTGTTTTTTTGTTGTTGTTGTTTTGTTTTCTTTTCTTTTTCAAGACAGGGTTTCTCTGTATTGTTTTGGAGGCTGTCCTGGAGCTCACTCTGTAGACCAGGATGGCCTCAAACTCACAGAGATCCGCCTGCCTCTGCCTCCCAAGTGCTGGGATTAAAGGCATGTGCCACCAACGCCAGGCTTTACAGAAGCTTTTTTTTGTTTCAGGTTTTGTTGTTGGTGGTGCTGTAGTTTTAGCAAGTTTCAGCAAGTTTCATAAGCCTGGCTTATATAGCAAAATCCTGTCTCAAAAGAGAAAAAAAGTTACCTGCTAAAGAAAAGGAAACAAAAAGCATAAACTATTTCAAAATCTGTGTTTCTTTTTTAAAGTAGTTGTGTGCTGGTTGGTTTTTTGTTGTTTTGTCAACTTGACACAAGCAAGGTCATCTGGGAAGAGAACACCTCAATTGAGGGTGTGTAAGGGTCCAGCCCACTGTGGACAGTGGTGCCACAACACAATTGTTCCTGGGTCGTATATCATATAAAAATGCAAGCTGAGTGAGCCATGGAAAACAAGCCAGTAAGCAACATTCATCCATGCCTCTACTTCAATTCCTGCCCTGACTTCCCATTATGATTCAGTAAGCTGTAAGATAAAATAAACCCTTTTGTCTTCAAGTTGCTTTTGGTCATGTTGTTAATCACAGCAATAAAAAGCAAACTAAGACTAGTTGATTTTGTATGGTTAAGTCATTACCAGATATCCATAATATAGAGCATCCTCATATAATATTTTTTGGGGGTAGGGTCTCACGATGCAGTCTTAATTGACCTGAAACTCACTGTGTAGCCTAAAAATCACAGAGGTCCACCTGCTTCTCTGCCTTCTAAGTGCTAGCACACATCAAAGAAGTATGCTACTATGCCCAGCTAACTAATTATTTCTTAAAAGAGAATTTTGCTTTCAAGTTGAAGCTGTCAACCTAGTTATAATAAAAGATGAAATTGAAACAGATGTATTTTCTTCATTGTGATATTGAACTGATGTATATTTTGTCTTCCTGTCCCATTTCATTCATAAAGATGACTGATATCACAAATTAACAGATCTAAGAATGACACTTGTAGTCTATCAACATTATTATTAGACTGAGTTTTCAGCCCATTCTGATTAAAAAACAAAAAAAGACCTAAAAACATGAAGTCTATGAAGAATCAAGAAAGCTGTGCATATAATCTTTCTGATCTGAACACTTGCAGATGAACTAACTGACTGTCAACAGTGACAGCAGAAGGGCCGATTATAAAACAGAAAACTACTCTTGTGTTTTATAGAAGGAAATGGGGATTCTTATATCCTTCCAAGTTTTTTAAGTTCTGTTATCCTGATAGATGTCTGGTTTATAACTTAAGCTGCAGTAGATTATGGTACCATAAGGTGGTGAAGGGTACCTGGACTACAGTCCCATAAAGAGGATCACACACATTATTTTTTAATGTAATTATGCTTTGATTTTTTTTAAAGATTAAAACAGACCTCTTTACTAAAAACGTGACAAATGTGTTTTCAGTGTTTTTAAACTAGAATGAAACAGAAGCTATCACTAGGTCATTGTTTAAGCTAGGATTGATGGTTCATGCCTATAAGCACAGCACTGGAGGGACAGAATAAGATGATCACCTCAAATTCAAGGTCAGCCTGAGCTCTATATACTGAGTTCCAGATCAGCTAGAGCTACTGGGTGAGACTCTGCCTCAAATCAATCATTCAGTGTATATTTGTTTGTTTATTGACAGAGGGTCTCATATAGCGCAGGCTGTCCACAAACTTACTTAGGTAGCTACATAGAATGACCTTTAGCTCCTGAGAGACTGTCTCACCCCATGTTCTAGACTTACAGGCGTATGCTGCCACACCCAGCTTCAGTGGTATCAGGGATCAAACTTAGAGCTTTGGGCATACTGGAAAGCATTCTGTCAACTGAGCTACATTCCTAGTTCTGAAGCCATTGTTTAACTCTAGCTTTGCTATCCTTACAGCCCTTACCACACCTACTCTCCTGAACCTTTTCAGACTTACCTAGAAAGAAAGGGAGTTAAGGCTAGGTAATGTATCTGTGAAGTTGTTGGTCCATTGCTATAGTTAATCCACATTTAGTTATCCAGAAATCTACAAAAGCAGTCTGCTCCTTGTCTTTTGTTTTTGTTTGTTTGTTTGTTTGTTTGTTTGTTTGTTTTTGGTGTGTGTGTGTGTGTGTGGTTTATTAAGCTATTTGGCCTCTATTTACTCTTTCATTTTAAAAATGACTGTTATTGTTGTACTGGGTCTCAAACCTCAGGTCTCACATATGCTAGGCTACCTCCCTGCCCCTGGTATTTATGTTCTTAATTCTTCAAGAGAAAGATCTGATGTTGCCACTAGTTAGTAACTATAGGGTCAATATGCCTTATCTGAAATACTTGGGACCAGAAGTATTTTTTGATGTTGTAATTTTTATATATACACAGTGAGAGTTCTTGATATGTCTGGACCCAAGGAAGGGTAAGCATGGAACTAACCTATATACTCAGCTGAGAGATTATTTGTATTATATAGTTTGTTTCATTTTATTATGTGTCTGAGTGTTTTTCCTGCGTGTATGTATACATACATTCCTGTTACCCATGGAGATCAGAAGAGGGTGTCAGATCCCCTGGGTCTGGAGTTAAAGCTACCATGTGGGTGCTGGGAACCAAACCCAGTCCTCTGCAAGAGCAGCCAGTGTGACCACTGAGCATCTTTGCAGTATAAAGTGGCTTTGTTTGTTTTGTTTTGTTTTGTTTTGTTTTGTTTGAGACAGGATCCTACTGTGTAGCCCTGGAGTCACTCTGTAGACTGGCCTCGAACTCAGATCCCCCTGCCTCTGCCTCCCAAGTGCTGGGATTAAAGGCGTGTGCCACCATTCCCAGCCAATGTAAGGTTTTTAGAACTTTATTTACATTGTATTATGGGGTGACTTTCAGGTCACATGGAACTGTTGGCCATCAGAGGACAACATGTAAGAGTTCTCTCCTCCTACCATTTGGGCCCAGGGTCAGATGCAGGTTTTATGGCAAGTATGTTTCCCGTGCTGAGCCATTTTGCTGTCCTAATTTGCACAATATATATATTTTTAGTGTACCTTTATTTTCACTGTGATCCATCATATGGGATCAGTTTCTGGATTTTCCCTGTGTGGTATAATAGTGTAATCTCAGAGCTCAGAAGGTCTCAGATTTTGGAGAATTTCGTATTTCTGACTAGGGATTCCAACCTGTATTGTACAAAATTTTAAAGAAAAGTAGTATATGGTGTTCTGAAGACAACCTTATGGGTTAAGTTTCAGTTCTGCCACTTTCTGCTGTGCAACCTTAGATAAGTTACTGAACCTTTCTCCACTGCAGCTGCTTCATCTGTTAAGTGGATATAACTTTCTTGTGAGCATTAAATAACTAAGTATTAAATGCCTACAATAATGTTTCACAGTGCAGGCTGTCTCAAGTGACCTCCAGCACCTTAACAATATGATTAATGTCACTTTTTAGCTGTCATTTGTGTATTCAGCAATGCATTTTATTCTGTTTTTTTTTTTTTTTAACTTTTAACCTATTCTTTTTAACTGGACACTCAGTGTCATTCATATTGAATTATACACATTGGTTTTACCATGAAACCAGGGTAAAGAAAGAGAAATGTATGATTTCTTAGGAACAACTTGTCTGGGGATGGTTTTGTGGGTAAGAGTACTTGTCCTTCTAGAGACCTGAGTTCAGTTCCTAGTACCCATGTTGGGGGGTTTACAACTACTCCAGCCCCAAGGGATTCAACACCCTTTTCTGGCCTTCTTGGATACCTACCTGCATGTGTGAGCATTCACAAGCAGATACAAAAATAATAATGTTTCTAAGTTTAAAAAATGATTAAAGTTTCTGGGCATTGGTGGTGCACGCCTTTAGTCCCAGCACTTGGGAGGCAGAGGTAGGCAGATCTCTGTGAGTTCGAGATCAGCCTGGTCTACAAGAGCTAGTTCCAGGACAGTCCCCAAAGCCACAAAGAAAACCTGTCTCAAAAAAAAAAAAAAAAAAAAAAAAAAGATTAAAGTATAAAAAATAAATAATAAGTGTCATCTCATCTCTTCATAGCTTGAAAAGAGTGACAGGTAGTCCCTAATGGGGAAGAGTGTTTTTCCCATTAGATAACATTCTAGAGAAAGACCAGGGTTTAAAAGTTCTTTATGAATTTAAAATAGTCTTTATGACATATGGGCTTATTTTTATTATTTAAATAATAAAATCCAGGTTATCCAAATATAATACTATGATTTAAACTCTTTGTTTTGCCTCTAAGTGGGATTTTACATTGTAAGCCCCCCTCCCCAGTAATCTCTAGTGATGTTTTAGTTAAAGTGGTCTGCCAGATTGTCAGGCCTGATAAAAGCTGCTGTGACCCCACACTTCGTTTCTATTTGCTTGCTTCTCAATCAGTGCTTTGGCTTATTCAGGTTTTTGTACAACATTTCTATTTTGATCCTTTAAAATTTTTTTCTTTCCTTCCTAGGGTATCACGTATGACCATGTAGAATTAAATGTGTATTTGAATGGAAAAAACATGCATTGTCCAGCATCAGGTATACGAGGGACAGTGTATCCAGTTGTATATGGTAAGCTAATATGTTATTCATCTATCAATAGATACATATTAATTGTTATTTGGCATTTATGTTAATTTTGTAGTTATCATTCAGAAGTCTGAACGATTTGCTGATGAGGATATTTCGAGTAGAGTGTACTCAGACTGTTACATTATCTCTGCAGTATTAAATATTTAGTTCATATACGTGTGTGTGTGTTGTTTTTTTTCAAGTTAGCATTTCTCTGTGTAACAACCTATGCTTGGGATTCACTTTTGTAAACCAGGCTGGCCTCAAACTCTCAGGGATCCACCTGCTTTTGCCTCCCAAATGCTGGGTTAAAGGTGTGTGCCAACACCACCCAGCTTTATTCCCTACATATTAACAAAATTGGTTAAATAAAATGGTTGTAGTTAACTATCCATGACCATGTCCTCTTTTATCACATCATTTGTTTATAATTTTATGTGATGTGTGTTTTGCCTGTGTGTGTGTGTCTGTGTACCACCTGTGTGCCTGGTGCTAGAGGATACCAGAAGAATTGGAGTTACAGATGGTTGTGAGCTGCCAGTTGGGTGCTGGGAACTGAATGAACCCTGGTTCTTTGGATGAGCAGCTAGTACTCTTAACCACCAAGCCATCTCTCCAGCCCCTTATGGTGTAGTTTTGTATTATAGAAAGTTCAAACTTCACTGAATTTACAAAGGTTTTTCTACTAATTACTAGTGAAGATTAGATGACAAAGAAATAAAATTGTAACAAATATTTTGGAACTAGGGAATTTTATGTGAATTGAGCATCATTGTCTTTATAAAATTACCTAAACATTATCACTTTTCTGAGAGAAATTATAAATTAGAATAGTTTCAGATTAACTTCTTTGTTTTTGATAGCTGGGTATGTATACATACAAGAACTATCATTTCTGTAAAAGTTGATTCCTTTTTTTTTTTTTTTTTTTTTTTTTTTTTTTTTTTT